GGGGGGGGGGGGGGGCGTCCTCTCCCTCCCCAGAGGCCTCAGCCACACAGCCCCCTCACCTCCTCGCGGGGGGCACAGAAGTCTGGCATGGGGACGCGGTGGTAGGTGAGGCCGGGGCAGGCCCCGCGGTGCTGGCTGAAGACCTCCTGCGTCGTGAGGCATGTCTGGAACCTGCGGGCCCGCGGGCCCTGGGTGCCTGCGGGAGGCATGCTCAGGTGGGCCTTCAGCTGCGTCTCCAGGTTCTAGGGGAGGGTGGGACGGAGGGCTCAGGCCACGCGGCAGCCCCCAGGCCAGCCCCGAAAGACCAGCGCCTCTGCGGCCAGGATAGTCCTGGCTTCCGGGCCCAGCCCTCCCCCTTCTCAAGCCTCAAGGTTTATAACCAGACCCGGGGCTGCAAGGGAGTCCTGAGTCAGCCACTCCCTGAGACCGCTCCTCTCGGGGCCTCAGTTTCTTCATCTGTACAAAAGGAGCACAGAAGCTTCTGAAGACCCTTTCAGGCCAAGTCCCCAGAAGGCCTCCAAGGCAGGGGTGCGTACAAGGCAGGAGGGCCTCACCTCCACCTGGCTAGGGGCCGTGGGGGGCCCAGGCCACCGCAGGCTGTGGGTGCGCCCGTCACACTCCAGCACAGCCTCCTCTCTCAGGTTGACCCACACAACCTGCTGCAGCTTCCTCTTAGTGTCGGTCAGGTAGGCCAAGATACTCCCCAGGGCCTGGGGGGACAGATGGCCGTCAGTGAAAGAGCTCAACCCCCCTTCTCCTCACCCCACAAGTGGGCCCCCTGGCTGGTCACCTTGGCACTGGGCTGGGCCGTGCCATAGATGGGCAAACGGGGCACCCGCCGAAAGTTGGCCACGTCCATCTCTCTGACGGTGCTGAGTGCGTCCGGGGAGATGAGGTCATCTGCCCGCTGTTGGGAGAGAAGCAAGCCTGGGACCCTCAGCGGCCGACTGAGGTTCAGAACCTGGCCCCAGGTGGGCATGGGGGGCAGGGGGTGAGACCAGCACTTGACAGTTTAGAAAGCACTTTTGCACACTTGGAGCCTCATAACCACCCTGGCAAGGGCAAGTGCAATGGTGCCCACTCTCCAGATTAGGAAGCTGAGGCTCAAAGATGAGAGGCTGGAGGCAAAGATACCAGAACCAGGTCTCCTGACTCCCAGCCCAGAGCGCTTGGGGTTGAGAATGAGGAGTGGGTACTGGAACAGTAGCCAGAGCTGCAAATGCTTCTTAGGGCCTGAGAATGGCCCCATTTTGTTCACGGGAGGATCCCATCACCCCACGGGCCATCCTCCCCTTGCTTCCTGTGAGGGCAATGCTTAGCCCAACCCCACAGGAACCAAGGCTGTAATCAACCCCGGGGCCAGCCCACACCCACGCCCACTTCCCCGGCCAGCCAGGCACACTCACCAGGGAGCCGGTGGTGATAAGGTCCCCAGGGGCCACAGGCCCCGCTGAGCTTAGTGTCACAGGCAGGCGGTACAGTTCGGGACGGGCACACAGCCAGCGGCTGAAACTGAGGGCAAAAGCCAACGGGTACTGCAGCCCGAGGCAGGGAGAGACGGGAGTTCAGGGTCACGTGGCCATCCCAAACTCTCCCTGCCTGCCCTCTGGTCGGGGGACCCCAAGAGATACCCATCACGGCCCAGGGCAGGGATGAGGGGCTGGGGAGAGAGGACCAGGATATCCGAAGCAAGATCCCTCCAGGCCCCGATGCCCTGGCTAAGGGTACAGAGATGGGCCCAGAGGGAAGAGACGTGGGGCCTCCCTTTGCCTGACCTGCTCGGGGACTGTCCCTCTATCTGGGTCTCTCCTTGCCTCCGCCAAACCCGCCTTCCTCTGGAACCTACACACGTCCCCACTCCCCTCCCCGGCTCCACAGGGGTCCCCATCAACCCCATGCCAGTCGCTGGGTGGGGAGTCTGGAGGGGCCCCAGGAGAAAGGGGGACGGGTCTGCTCATCCCCCTGCCCCACCTGCTCATGGAGGTAGTAGTTAAACAGGACCAGGTAGAAGTATTGCTCCAGGCTCCGCAGCGCCCTCTGCTGGACACCGCGCTGGCCGCCGCTTTCCTGAGAGGAAGGGACCAGGAAGGAGGGCCGGCAGTAAAGATGGGGCTGCTAAGCCACCCATCCCCATCCCCAGAAGGGAAGGAGTTAAGCCTCAGAAATTCCCATTAGACAATCTACCCCCACCCTTCATAACCCTGTTTCGCCAGGCTGGAAGTTCTTCCAACCCTATCCCATTTGCTGTGGTTTATCCATGGTGCAGGAAGAGCTACTGGTGACCCCAGGAGGCACTACAGCTCTCGGTGAGGCTCTGTGCCCAGAGACAGGCTGGGCCTCGCCGCTTTGCTCCAATGCCACCCGCCATGCAGGGCCGCCCACAATCCGTGTTGAAGCAGGAAGTGTGTAAACACCCTTCCCCGAACCAGAGGCCCTCGCTTAAGAGCTGCGACCCTCCCCACCCCAGCGTCCTCTGGGCAGGGGGCTGTCACAGAAAATTCCAAGGGTCCCTCTCTTCATCTTCGGATCTCAGGCTTCTCCTGCTGAGTCAGCACCACCTTCTGGAGGGCAAGTGAGATTCGTACAGGCACGAAAAAAAGGTCATGCCCTTGGATGAAATTTAATCCCATCTTTGGGAATCCAGGCCAGAGGTCAGCAAACTTTTATTTCTATAAAAGGCCAGACAGTAAATTTTCTAGGCTTGTGGGCTACACGATCTGCCTTACAACAGCTGGACTCTGCCACGGCAGCATAAGAGAGCCAGAGACGGTTCATAAATGGATGGGCAAGACCTCGTTCCAACAAAACTTACTTATCAAAACAGGTGGTGGGATGGATCTGGCCCGTGGGCCATCGTCTGTCAACCCCTAATCTAGACCTTATAAGGGGAAAAATCCTAAATACACAAAAGCCCCATCTTCACAAAGTAGCTCAATGCGAACTGCTTACTTTGACCCCCCACTGCCCAACTAGAAGAGGGGCCTGAAGATCACAGCAGGGGACGGCCAGGAGGAACACCTGCTCTGCCAGGCTCCCTCCTGAGGCTTTATGACCTGAGCTCACCTAATCCTCACAATAACCCTATGGGGTGGTTATTGTTAGTGGCCTCATTTTACAAGGGGGGAAACTGAGGCACAGAGCAGTGGAGCAGGTTGCCCAGGTCCACATGCCTCTAGGTGGCAGAGCCAGGAACAGAACTCAGGCAATCGGGCCAGAGCTCTGCTCCTAACCTATCAGGCCAATGATGGCTGAGCCTCGCAATGGCTTTGGTTCCACAGCCAGTAAACCTCAACGACGACAAGCAGGTATGACATGGAAGAGACGGAGTTACATGAAATAAGCAGGACATAAACGTGCCCTAGGCAACCTACAAAAGAACACCAGAGATATGAAAACAGAAGGAAGGCAGCCAAAATGCTCACGGCAGCTGGGCTTGGATGACGGGCAGTTTTATTCCTTCTCTAATTTCTCAATTTTCTATGATATAATATTGCTTTTAAAACACTTTTTTAAGTGTTAAAGAAGAAAAAGACTCTACGGGCTTTAGATTCTTTCCACGTGCTGTGTGCGAACAAGCCAACCTCCTCTCTCCAGAGCACAGGGACAGGCCTGCTGAGACAGCCCAGAGCCCGTCACTCTTCCAGAATCAGCAGCTGGACCAAACCTTGGCCTTCCCAAAGAACAGCGAGGGGTTTTATTTGCAGGGGGAGCCGGGAGCAGCCTGGGAAGTATCTGGAGCCAGAGGCCCCCAGCACCTTGCCAGCAGCCCCTTCCTCCATCCTGTTTATTCTGCAGCAAGGGGTCCTGGTCAGGGAAAGTAAACTTCCTCTCTTCCTGCAAGCCCAGCTCCCCATCTCCCCTTCCTCTGAAAACTGCTCTGCTCGGGGGAGAAGCAGCAATTAGGAAAAGCCAGTCTGAAGGGGGCCAGTCAACAGGCCCAACCAAACAAGGCTGCCGGGCTCAGGCAAAAGCAGCGGCTCTCGGTGCCTCACCTGAGCCGGGGTCTGCGGCGGGCTGCCTTCCAGCTCCCTCTGGTGTTCCAAGACTCCTTCCTTCAGGTCGTGCAACTCTGCACAGGCGGTGATGGCTCTGTCCACCTGGTGCCACAGACCAGCGCAGGGAAGAGGGGACGGCAGCAGGGACGGAGCAGGGCCATGGAAACATGGCAGGAGGTAGAAGAGAAGAGAGGGGGAAAGAGAATGACTGGCCGGGAAGGGAAGGAGCGGGCAGGGGAGGAAGAGGCCCCCCAGTGAGGGGAGCGAGTGCCCCGCCACGGCCCCACCCCCAGCTCCTTGCCCAGCCCCCTCACTCACCTCCTCCACCATCCTCCTCCCCTGGGGCACCATGTGGAGAAAGCTCTGGACCACCTGGAGCTGCTCCATGGGCAGCGGCTTGGTCTTTGTAGGGGCAGCCCTGACAGGGAGGGGCATTAGCCTCATCAGCGCTCCCAAAGGCCTGGAGGACGCCCCGCTGTCGACACCCTCCCATTCACCTGGCCGATGAGAGGCACCGGACTACATGCTCCAAGTTTTCCTTCCAAATCAGTTGGGGAGACAAGAGGCGTTTGTTCCACTGGGGAAACTGGGACCCAGAAAGGCCAAATGACTTTCTCCAGGTCAGTCAGTGAAGCCTGCGGCAAACCGGGAAGTGAACCCCAGCTGCCCAACTTCCAGCTGTAGCTCTGGGCTTCTGACGTGTCCCCGGCAACGTGGGGCAGCCCCGCCCTCCCCTCTCCTTATCCCCTCAGTCCCCTTGGGCACTGGGTCCCACTAGCCACTCACTCCGGCCTCGAGGCAGTCCCACTGTGGTGAAGCAGGATGAGGGTGCCCAGAACCATGCCCAGGTTGGTCCTGCCCACGCCTGTCTGGCAGCTGAAGAGGAGAGCAGGGGGAGGCCCGTGGGCCTCTCGGAGCAGCAGCAGGCTGGGGGTCTCCTGGGGAAGGGCCATGAAGAGCAGGTAACAGCGTGACCGGAAAGCCCTCGGCTGAGGACCAAATTGGGGTTGGGGGGTCATGACATGGGCCGCCCAGCCCCACAGCCCGATCTGCTCCACCTGCCCCAGGAGCACAGGCCCTGCCTCCTTCCCAGGGTCCTGGAGCTGAGAACTACTCAGAGGGGACAGGGCCACAGTTACTCTGCTGTGAGAGGCAAATTAAATAAGGTGACCTCCCAAGGGAGATGGGACAGAAACACCGGTACTCAGGAGATATCAGCTGAAGCCTGGAAGGTAAGAATTTTTAGTTCCGATATAGAAATGAGGAACTTGAGGCCTAGAAGTTAGGAGATCTGTCCAGGATCACACAGCAAGTTAGCAGCCAGGCCACAGCCAGAGTCCAGTCCTCCAGATGGTCAGTGCTGGGCTCTGTCATTAGAGAATGTACAAATACACACCCACACCAGACACACACACACAGCCCACACACTCACGCACTCAACCTTCCTCCAGAAGCCACACCCACCAGGGCATCTCCATGGAGACGGGGCCTCGACACAGACCCACTCTCCAAGCACCTGCCCACCCTCCGTGCTCCCAGCACCCCTCTTGCCCCCACTTACCCGGAGGACACTGACAAAGGCATCAAACTGGGCTTCCAGGGGGGCCCCTTGCTCTGGCAGGGGCAGACGGTGGTACCTGCCGGGTGAGGGGGAGCGGCCCATCAGGCAGGCCACACACCCCGGACATCCCATCACCCCCATATTCCCATGGGAGACACAGGCGTGGGGAACTCAGCCCAACCTGCAGATGGTGAGACTGAGGCCGCAGCTGGAGAGCAGGCCCAGAGAGCACCCACACCCAGCACACTGGGGGCCTGTGCAGGCCCTCGGTACCTGTAGGTGGGCCGCAGGAAGAGGGGCCGCTTGTACACCTCCTGGGTCACGTGCACATCGTCCTCGCCCTTGACGGCCACGGTGTGGGGCTCCCCCCGCAGGTCTTCGGTGCTGTGGTACACGTAGTACTTGTTCTCGCTCAGCTGGGCAAAGTCGTGGATCTAGAGGAGGGAGGGGGCCAGAGGGCCATGACAGACTTTCCTGGCTGAGCTCTGGAGTGCCTAGGCCACACAGAGGCCATGGACAGGCTGCTTTCCCTCCAGAGAGAACTACACACCAGAGGTCCTCTCTGTGCCCTGGGAGCCCTGACGGGACCAGGGTGGCCGCTGGCCCGAGGGCAGCCACCTATGCCTGAGTTGATATGGCCCACACTGGGGCCAGGTTGGAAGGGCTTGGCCCGGTGGGCAGCCAGGAATTGGTTAAACGCCAGAATGG